AATTTTTTACTTGTAATTTTGAATAACTTGATCCCAAATAAACAAGGGCAGGACAGCCGAATTAGAAAAAAAAATATAGCTAATAGTTTTTTGCTAATATTTTTTGATCCAATTATTCAAATTGAATAATTTTAATATCATTAGATTCTTCTCAGGAAGATGAATCTAAAGGTACCAAATTCATCCAATTTGAACTACTGGGTTACAAGATATTAATATTTTTATAAAAAAATTATATTATTTTTCTTTAACTCTTCTTCTACTTTAGTAAAAAATATAAAAAAAAAAAAATTATTTTTATAAAACTCCTCTTCTTTATATAATGTTATTTATAAATGCTCCTAAGTAAAAATAATCAGTTTCTTGAAAACCTTATAGGAACTAAAATCATAACCTATTATAATCTTATATCTAATATATAGTATATTGTATAATAAAAAATTCTTATTTAGATCTAACCCTAAGGGCAGTATTATTTATCACTTATCAGAAGCTTACACTCCTCCTCCCTCTTAATATATATTTTGATCAGATCCTTATATATAATTTTAAAATTTTTATCCTCCTCCTCTCCTAAAAAATCATCTGATTTTTGTTACATCCCTAATTAACTTAGCACCATCAGATATTTTTCTTAAAAAGGAATTGCTGTGAAAGCCCCTTAGGAATTTAAAATGAACATACACTACCATATAGAGGATCCTTTATTCTTATAATAAACCTACTAGAGCAGTCCATTTTTTATATATATATCATCTAGATTTTTAGTAACTTACACCTAGGCTGCAGCCAAGTACTTGCAGCTTTTTCTCTTCACTATTATTATCTACTTCTTATCCTTATAAAGTTCATCCAAACCACAGCACCCACTTTATAGACTATCAACAGTACTTCAATGCCAACTGTCGGTACTCTAAACTTTTAATCCAGATGGTCTAGAAAGGACTAGTGGATGTTTTCTAGTATTCTGAATGAATTCTTTTTACTCTAATTATCTGGTAGCCTGGTTGGTATAGTGTTTGCTAAACACTTGGTCTTTGTTCAGTTTGCTTTTGATGTCTGGTTTTTTAAATGATAATCTTTTATGTAGTGCTATTAAAAATCTGTGCTACCTCTTTACTTAGGACTTTCAAAGTTGGCTTTCATATCCTCTAATCTCTTGGATTTATTTGACTGCTTCATCCAAGCTTCATATAATTTATGCATTATATTATGTTTTACAACCTCCCAATATGAGTTGGTGAGACCAAGGTTACAGATACTAACCCGATCAATATGTTATACAGTTTTATTATAATATATTTTGTAAATTTGAATTTCGTCACCAGTGAGATTTGAACTCGTCTTGCCACTTGTAAGTGTGACAACTTACCAACTACACTAAGTCGCCACAACCTTAAATATATTTTTTTTTTATATTTTGTATATAATAAATATAATTAATTGGTAATTTGCTAGTTGATCAGAGAAGATCTGCAAATTTTTATAAGTAAATTTTACTATTAGTCTAAATATGAAGTGCTCTAATCTAGAACTTTTTTACTAAGTAAATCACTCTTGAGCTTTTAATAAAAGTTGTAGAGCTTACAAGAATTAACATAAAACTCTTTCTAACAATCTTTTGATTAACAATAATAAAAACTGAACTATAGCAAAATATATAAAAAGGCAACAAAATAGATACCAAACTTGGTCCTATAAGTAGGAGTAGCTTGTTGTTAATAAAGTCTAAATATCTAGATGTGAAATACTGAGAAGTAAGTGTCAAAAAACAGATAGTTTTTTTTGAGGTCAAGTTTTTTCTTTTTTGACAGACTCTCCAAGGTATTCAGCATCTAAACCAGAAGGGTTATTTTGAAAACAAGTCTGTAGAAGTAGCCAATATGTACTCCTAAGTTAGTAGAAATGGAGAAGCTAGTCTATACAACTATAAAACTTACAAGAAGAACCTTATATACTCTCATTGGCCTACCACTTTTTTTTAAGAAAATTTTTATAAAAAGTAGGCATTTTAGTTTACTCCTCCAAATAATCAATATTATATATACCAAACAATTTATGTTGGTTCACCCTGTTTCTGCAGAGAAGAGGAGCCTTTATTCTGTATGTTGGTTTAGCCTGTTTTTGCGGAGAAGAGGAGCTTTTATTCTATATAGTTGTTCATCCTGTTTCTGTGGAGAAGAGGAGCCTTTTTTCAGTATATTTTTTTACCCTATTTCTGTGGAGAAGAGGAGCCTTTATTCTGTATGTTTGTTCGCCCTGTTTCTACAAGGAGATGTCTTTATTCTGTATATTTGCCATGTCCTGTTTCTATGGAGAAGAGATGCCTTTACCCTATATGTTTGCTACATCCTGTTTGCAGAGAGAAGAAGCTTTCTTCTGCATGAATGTTCTAAACTCAAACGTTCTAAATTTAATGTGCATAGTGTTGAGCTGTGAATGTATCACCTTTATCGATTATAAATCGAGATCAGCTAATTCTGCATAAGGAATAGGCTAAGTTCCTGATTTTTATTGACAATCAGTATTTTATTAATGAGATACTGACTAACAATTTTTTTTTTTTATAATAGAAAACAAGTCCATTAAATGAAATTACAAATTATTTTACTAAACAAGATGGTGCTCACGATTTTGACCATCAAAAACCCAGTATAAATGAGAAATTAACAAAATTTTAAGAATCTTTAAAACAAGCCAAGTTGTATGACTCATTTTTACGAATGCCACAAGGGTTAAATTTTTTCAGAAAGGCATCTTATCCATCAACAATTTTTACCCATCAGTGTTATCTTCATCTTCAGAAGATCGTGTTTTATAATGATATTCGAAAACTAAGAATCACTGGAAACCCGGGAATTGGAAAAACCTTTTTTGATTATTATTTACTTTATTGTCTTGCAAAAAAAAATAAAACTGTTATCTACCACAAAGTAAATAGTGATCCGATCCTTTTTGATAAAGAAAAAATCACGTGTGAAAAAAAACTTTATAAATTAAGTAACTATTTAAATGACCCCGATGTATGGTATATTGTTGATGATCACGAACCTAATGAATACGAATGCAAGACAGTTCTTATTTGCTCACCAAGAAAGGGTAATTATCGTGAATTTGATAAATATATAGGAAGCACAATAAGATATATGCCCTTATGGTCATTAGAGGAGATTCAAGCATATAGACAAGATCTGTTCAAACATCTTAACATGGCATCAATAAACCTTCTATATTCACATTGGAGAGGTATACCTCGATTTATTTTAGAGAATGCATTAAACAAAGCAAAACAAAATCTTCTTCAAAGTGCGATTGATGTGTTTAATGATAAGATCCTATACTATATTGGGGAGACGGATTGTCCTGATGACGTGAGTCACAAAATAATTCATTTAAACACCAATATTCCAGATGATAACATTGACAGGGAGGATCTTCTATACACCAGAATGGTTATACAATTCGCATCAAAATTCGTAGCCATAAAGTAATATGTAGGCTTGAAAAAATTTATAAGCAGCAATTAAAACATTTTTTATTGTCAAGTTTACTTGAAGGAAAATTTGGTGCACTTCGAGGGTACATATTTGAATATTTTGCCCATCGGATCATATCCAAAGAAAGAGTATTCAAAATACGACTATTAGATGATAATTCCAGGATCAATTTAATTGAAATGCCAGAGAAAACAAGAATGATTTTTAATGAAATCAATGAAATTAAAGACGAAGTGTATTGTCAACCGAAAAACCAAAATTTTTCATCAATTGATGCTATTATAGCACCAAATGTTTTATTTCAAATAACAGTTTTTTGTGTCTATCCTATCAAGCTAAACGGGTTAAAACAACTCTATGACAAGTTAGGTGGTGCCTCAGATTAGTGTTGTTAGGCAAAACCTAGAGGTTTTGCTATTGGCAAAAGTTAAAACTAGTTTCGACTTTTGCCAAAAAAAAATTAAAATGCCAAAATGTCGAAATTGGCAAATCTGGCAAATCTGGCAAAACTGCTAAAAGATGAAAAACTAAAAAAAAAATATAATTATTAAAAATAATAAAATTAGTAAAAAATCATAAAGAAACAAGAATAGAAAAGTTATTAAATAAATTTAAAATCTTTTTATCTAATTATTAATCTTTTTATTATTAATATTACTATATACTTAGATAACCTACCTACAAATGCTCAGATTTGGATTTTAGAATATATATATAATTACTGTATTGTCGCGAAATAATGCATCCCAGCACATTATTTTAAGTATAGGCATGTTACTTAGAGTACGTGCCAGGGTGTTATTTTGAAACCAATAAACCTTTTTAGTAAACAATAAAGTGCTTTAGAAGTAAGTTTGGTACTAAGAAAATCTATTCTGAAGCATTTTGGATATGCGTTATATAGGAAAACCATATATTAGATTGGTAAAAAGTAACTAAATAATAATCTTTTTTTAAACTATTGATTATTAACGTTTATACCAGTATTACGTAGATATAATAAATAATTATAGAAGGTCGATAT